TTATTATTATCATTATTATTATTGTTGTTGTTGTTTTTATTATTGTTATTGTTATTATTGTTATTAAACGACGTTAGCTAGAGACTCGATTCAAACTTTTAGAGTGAAACTTGTTTAAGTGTCTCCTCAGTTTTTCAACAGCTAACATCTACGTGTATTCGAAAGCGGGAAGCTTCTGGGTGTACGGTGCTGTTGTTTGTCTACAGTAGACGAGCGAAACTGCAAGTGGTTAGCCTTAAGTAGCCTTCTTGTCTCTCTACTAACATTCTCTCTCTCTCTCTCTCTCTCTCTCTCTCTCTCTCTCTCTCTCTCTCTCTGTGTGTGTGTGTGTGTGTGTGTGTCAATCAACCAATCTCTCTCTATCAATCTCTCTTTATCAAACTCTCTCTATCAATCTCTCTCTATCAATCTATCTCTATCAATCTATCTAACTCTCTTTCTCTTCCCATTCCCTCTCTCTGTGGTTATACAAATACCACAATGGGTTTTATTTTAACAATGTCAGAGAGTCGGGTCTCTTATATTATATACACATCAGATACCTTTTGAGTCATTCCACACCAGAGGGCCACTGTACGAAAAGAAGCGCTGTTCATAAGTTATGCTATAACTATAACACTTAAAGTTCAGTAACGATTTGAGTAAATCATTGTTTTATCACTGGACGATCTAAATCTAATATTTCTTGCTGGGCAGCAGCAGCAGGGTTATTAGTTTTATTATTATTATTATTATTATTATGTATGTGTATGTGTGCGTGTATGTGTGTGTGTGTGTGTGTGTGTGTGTGTGTGTGTGTGTGTGTGTGTGTGTGTGTGTGTGTGTGTGTGTGTGTGTGTGTGTGATGTTTATGTCTCTTTGATAAAGGAATGATTCACACACTCCATCTTTTCGAAACGTAGTCGAAAACGGATTTTCCGAGATCCCACTTGTTGTCTTGTACACGTCATCAGAACAATAACTCGCTTCCCGTTTAATTGTTCTGACAAGACAAGAGATGGGAGATCTTGAGTGAGTTTTTCCTTGAATTCTATATATATTTTAGTACCGCACTCGCATTGTCCTCACCAGACTCGCTTCTTTAGAATTTGTTTTTCACTGAAATTATTTAGGCCTACGTAACAATAATAATGATAAAAATTAAAAAATACATTTAGAATTAGAAATGTTATTGCGCATTTCCACCTGGAAACTGCTCAGTGCGCTTTACAAAAGTACAAAGAAAACAGTTCTAATAGTGATTCCTCTCTGTCTGTCTGTCTGCCTCTCTGTCCCTGTCTGTCTGTCTGCCTCTCTGTCTCTGTCTGTCTGTCTGTCTGTCTGTCTGTCTGTCTGTCTGTCTGTCTGTCTATCTGTCTGTCTGTCTGTCTGTCTG